CTTTTTTCAAGTTTTTAGTTTTTTAAATATCCAACATAGGTTTTTTTTTTTTTCCTTTTTAGGAAGGAAGAGAAGAAGGAAGGGAGGGAGGGAGACTCTGCATAGCCACCCCCTGAGGTATGCACCTAAGGTCACTCTGCTTTTATTACTTTTATGACTGTCCTCGGGCGGCAGGAGGGCATTGGAGGGCAGTTAAGGTGACCTGCATTTGATCACCCAGGCAGGCAGTGACCAAACCGGGGCAGGACAGCTTCCCCAGTTCCCAGGCTGGATCTCAACAGGCTGCAGCTCCTCCAGGGTTGTGTCATTGGTTATATCCTGGAGAGCAGGTGACAACTGTGCCTCAGTTTGTGAATGCAGCCTTAGATCAGAACAGTTACTAAGATGGATCTCAGAGAGGGACAGAGGCCAAAGAGGACTTCCCAGGCCAGGCTTCCTGAGGCACATGCTCCTCCCACCTCAGCACAGAGCTGCAACCGAGCCCCCTGGACAGCTGTGATGAAGCAGGGTCTCTGTGGCCCTGTAGGYGACTTCAAGCTGTGGAAGGAACTCTGGCTGTCTCGTTAAACTGCCCCTCAGCATCTGCCGACTTCAGCGTGGCTGGGCTGAGACGTGAGCACGGGAGCTTGAGCAGAAGACAGATGGGGACAGGGTGGGCTGTATCCCATCATGATAACCCCATATTTTTTTTGGAGAAGGAAATGACAATTGTGAGGCACTGGAAGCTTCCTTGGGTGGGTGCAGGGGACCGACCACAAGTGTCAGCTGAGAAACTGAGACACAGGAGGGAAAGAGCCCAGACCGGTTTGCTGTGCAGGTGGGAGTAAGGCTAGGGGAGGGGGTAGGACTGAAGTCACAAACCCAAGCGTTCAAATGCCCCAGAGCCTCGTGACCTAGCATCTGAGCCTTAGAAGCAGTTTCCAGACTGTTTACAGGCTGTGGTGCTCAGACAGGCCCAGGGAMGAAGGTGGAGAGCCTCAGACAGGGCTGATGCCGGCATCAAGGACAAAAAAAAGGGATGAGGTCTCCCACCTGTGCACTGGGTGCCAGTGCTTTTCTGCCCTTGGCTAAGGAGCCCAGTTACCCAGCAATTGTATGATATCCTCCAAGGGTCTGGCCCCTCTGTGGCCGAGGACAGAGAAAGGACAACCTAGAGACAGAGGCCAGTCCCCTACCAGTCCCTGGTTGTGTGTCCTTGTTCATGTCACCAGTCTCTCCAGTTCTGTTTCCTGCCGGTCAAACAGGAGTACAGTCACTAACAATGTGTCTGCCCATCAACATCTGAGCACATAAACAATGGTGGTCCCGCAGGATTATATCACCCAGAGACATTAAAGTCACCTTTGATCATCAGTACATTCTATGATGTTTGCACACCAGCAAAATCTCCCAAGCAGGCAACTCTTTTTCTATTTCTGCCTTTAAACTCTTTTTCTATTTCTGCCTTTAAACAAGGCACAACTGTAAATGTGCTCTCATTAACCAGGGACAGTCTGTGAGAGAGTAAATACACAATACTGGAGCCTAGGTGGCATGGTCAATTGTAGGCTGAAGGGAGAGTGACCAGGACAATCTCATGGGTCCTTCCTTCTGGGTTCAAACTCTTTAAGAAAACTGTTTTACTGGAACCTATTCCAARGAATGGGACTGGCCTCAAAGCTGAAGCACAGAGCAGCAACCACATGGCCAATATGCAACCAGCACCAGGAGAGCAAGGCTGCAGCCCAGCACGACCAGCCAGCAGGGTCCAAGCCCAGTATGACCACCAGCAGGGTCCAGCAGCCATGAAGACCCAGCTGAGCCTCGTGAGCAGGGAGTGTGGGGGAGGGCCCTGAGCTGAGCCAGACACGGGACCAAGGTGCCTGGGCTTAAGTTTCAGCTCCACTGGGYTCCCACACAGGTCACTGTATCTTGAGTTGTTCTTAGTAGTCATGGCAGCAGACCCTGCCTTGGATCTGGGCAGAAGCAGGCCATGTTGGCCTCATGGCCATGACCAWGAAGACTGGCGTTTAGGAAAGGATGGGAAAAGATAAATAGATGAGACTTTTTTAGGGCAGACTGGTGACTCTGTATGATGCTCTAAGGTTGGGTCTGTGTCATTATACATTTGTCTACACCCATAGAATGTGAAACCCCAAGAGTGAACTTTCATGTGAACTCTGGACTTTGGGTGATAATGAATGAAAAGCYTTTATTTTCTAATTCCTGAGTGGTCCCACCCCATGCCTGCTCCCCTGGGGTCTTGTGATCACATATCCCACTTTCCCCTCCTTTACCTGAGCAGGTATAGGGACACTTCCTGCCAAAAGAACGGAGGACACCTCCCCTGGGCCCTGCCTTCTTCCAGGGTCAGCCAGGGACCCAGTCCTAACAGCAACACCTGGGTGTGTGCACTGCTTACTTAAAATATTAAKATTTGGGCTGGGGATGTGGCTCAAGCGGTAGCACACTCGCCTGGCATGCCTGCAGCCCGGGTTCAATCCTCAGCACCACATACAAACAAAGATGTTGTGTCTGCTGATAACTAAAAAATAAATAAATAAATATTAAAAAATTCTCTCTCTCTCTCTCTCCCTCTCTCACTCTCTCTTTAAAAAATATATATTAATATTTATGGGACGACAGTATCTTCATTTAGATTTTTCATTTACATTAATAATTAGTATTTTGTCTAACAACCAGACATCACTTCATCAGGCTCCTATCCAAAGCAGGCTCTATGTTTCCTGGCAACCCCCGTCAGCCTTCCAGAAATGCTCTCACTTCTTTGCTAAAAATCATTTGAGATTCCCGATCCGTTTTTTTCCTTCCTCATCCCTTGTAGTGTTTCACCTCATGCCCACAGGATTTCAGGTGGGCCCCGTTCTGTTCAAGGTGGTGTGTGCGAAAGGACACAGGAGAGGAGACAGGGAAGGCTTCACTTCCCGCCTTGGAGATGCTGGGAAGGTCACAAGGAACCCAGATGTGTCAGCCGTCGGCACTGCTTCCTGGGCTGGACCAGCATCGTCTCTGGTCCCATAGGAGCTATTCCTGATCTTTGCCACCCTCTCTGTCCCTCCCACAATTCCAGTTCTCCCCTCAACTTCAAAAAGGACTCCCCCCMTTTCAGAAAAGAAGGGAAATCTCATGTCAATAGATTCAAAGTGCACATAATGACTTGCCCACTCRGGTTGCCCTGAAACCCCACCCTGACGCCAGAGATGTGCCTGCACCTACMTGGTCTGCAACCTCCCCGCCATCTTGGTGAGGCTCTCTTGCTTTCTCCCCTACCTTGTCTCTGCCCTGGTTGGTTGTATCAATGGTTCCTTCTCTCTTCTGACTCTACAAAGTCTCCTTTTCTACTTTTTCCTGATTATCTAAATATTCTGAATACATTTCCCCCTCCATTCTTACTCTAGCCTATTGCACCTGGGCTTCCATAACACTGACCAACTAACACAGCTCTAGCTGAGGTCAATGGTGACCTTCTCATTGTTATATCCAATCTCCTGTTTCACATCTTCCCTTAGAAAACCTCTCAAGAGCACTTGGCATCCTTCACCACTTCCTTTTTAACGTTTTTTAAATACTCTGCACACTTTTGGTTCCCACCATGCTGCTGTTCGCTACTCCCCACCCCCATCCGTGAGGTCCTTCCCTCTCCTGGGCTTTGCAGGTTCATCCTTGGATGCTGGCAACTGCCACCCCAGCTCCCCAAGGTGTTATTTCTGGCTCTTCTCTCCATCCACTCAAGCATTGGCCCCGAGGATGACGTCTACTCAACAGCTGTAACTCCTACCAGATACTGACAAATCCAAATCCCAATGCCCAGTCCAGACCTCTCTTCCAGGTTTCCATGAGAAACAGCTGGACACCTCCCTGTTGATTCCCACAGACACCTCAAGAGACCACATCCCCAATCCATTCCACCATTTTGCCTCCAGCCCTGTCCTCCCTCATGCAGTCCCCATCTCTGTGAACAACACATCACGATCCTTGGTGGGATCTGGTCGCTCTGTCCAACAAATTACTCCTCTTCAGAAATTCTAAGTTATTCTCTTTATTCCACTGCCATCATTACCTCATTTTCAATTTTTATAATTTCTCACTGGGATCCTGTCAATGACTAATGTGTCCATGTCCTCAGTTTATTTCCTTAATACTTTACCTATTTTAAAAATCCTCCCACCTTGGGAATTTATTAATACATCCAGTACAAACAATAAATACTACTTGAAAATAATCTCCATGCACTCTTCTTACCCAATGGTTCATGGTTKCTCACAGTCCAGCCTTACTATAGACTAGTCCAGCTTATAAAACTGGATTCTTCCTTCAGGTTCCCAGAATATGTTCCCATATGATGTGCTGTTCCTTGTACCACCCAGTATACTCACTGGAGCAGACAGTTTACAGGAGGGACAGGAGGGACAGAGTGAGGAACCTGAGACTCAGGGTCCAAGGATCAAGTCCCACTTCTGTTAAGCTGTGTATGTATCCAAATGACTTCATCTCTGAGCCTCAGTTTCCTCCCTGGGGACATGGGGAGACTATGACATATGTCCAGGCCTGTGAAGATGTCTCCTGTGATAGCATCCTAGCCTGGCTCCTTCCAAGAGGAAGCTCATGAGAGAAAAGCCCAGGTCCTATCTATTTACTTACTCCACAGCCTAAGTCCAAAAGCATGTCTTCCTTCYTACCCCAGGATACTCCTTACATTATTCCTACACTTTTGTAGGCTTGTTCTGTCCCCAGCTCAGTAACTGTCTGAAGAGGTGGGTCACGCCTTCATCCTCCACCATGTTTCCCTCTGTGCAGTCACAGCTGGCCTCTGCACAGAGCCGTAACATGGTCAGCAACCAGGGCCAAAAAGGGCTTGTGCTCAGTGCTCCAGCCAAATCTGGAACTGGCTGTCCAGACTCAGACAAAGTTGTTGTTGTTTTTGTTTTTGTTTTAACAAACAGGAGAAAAAAGGGGACATCGACACATGGAGGGTGTGGGGAGGGCAGGGAGCAACTCACCTTTACACTGCAAACCCTGCCGCAAGAGGCCCCAGAGCAAGGACCCACAGTGGTCACAGAAGGTAGGGACTTTGTAGTTGTGGATCCCAAACTTGTGGGGCATGTTGACGCTGAACCGCTGTGAGCCCACCTGTGGGATGGCAAAGCACAGAGTCAGCCGGCTGCTTCCAGCTCCTCCAAGGCCCAGAGCCTCATCACTGGACTCCCATGGAACTTCTTCCCCAGAAAGCACGTGCCACTGTAGGCTTGGCTCTGAGACACCAGATGAAGAAAGCCTCCTCTGGGCCCCGTCTTCACTCCTGATGGCCCCAAGTCCTCGCCTGCTGCACTGGCTGGCTTGGCAAGGCCCGGCCTGCTTCCCCACGCCTGCCCCCCAGGACTTCAGACCTTTCAAAGTCGCATCACATGGCAGTGGTGTGCCTCACACCTGAGCCACTGGAGGCAGCACCATGTGCCTTCAGAACTGCTTCGCACACGGAGGCCTCACCCAGCAGGGGGCTTCTGGCAGCTCCAAGGTGGACACAAGGAGCCTGTAAAGCACTGTGCAAACCAGCAGTGTCCTGGAAACCAGGGTCATTGTTAGAACAAGCAATAATTACATGAAGATGGACACTAAGACACTAAGGTATCGTGCTGACCACACACCAGGTACCATAGCTCAGTGAAATCTGACCACCACTCTCTGGGGTAGGACCATCATGGCCCTGAGTTCACTGATGAGGAAATTAAGGCCCAATGAGATCAAGAACATGCTGATCAGCTGATAGGCCAGGCTTCCATCCCCACACCCCCTGCAGAAGACACAAAGAGGGTGAGCAGGACTCACAGAAAACAGAGGCAGAAAGAATTGTAAGACTGAAAGAGAGGAAGAAAGAAAAGTGAYGAACACAGAGACAGCGCACTCCTTGGTTACACCGTAGAAGTGCAGCACGGGTGTGAGCCCTCAGCCTGGCACAGCAGACACGAGACAGGGAAGGCSACTGGTCACAAGCTCAGGTGCAAAAGCCCCAAGAGGCCCATCAGCAGAGCACCTACTGAGAGGAGGGAGGGCTGGCGGCATGGTGTTCAGAGCTGCACGTATTTGTGGTGCCCATGTACACAGATGCATTGTGCACAGGCATGGCACAGAAGGTGGCTGCACAAAGGTACTCAAAGGTCAGTCTCCATGGGCAGCACCTGGCAGAGGGCACAGTCACTACCCTGGTGGGTTAGATACGCTGATGCTGAAGGACACTGGCCCCAGGAAGCATATAATGGTGGCAGGTGGCAGGTGCACCAGGACAGGCAGTTGACCCCACCAAGAGCCCTACTTCCTCAGTCCCTGGCAGTTTGGACACACACCAAATTTGGAGTCTCCAGTGCTCACTGGAGACTTTCAACCACTTCATCTATCAGGAAAGAGAGAAGGAAGAAGTAGGTCGCAGGTCAATTGGGTGCCATGCATTTCAAGTCACCATCTCCACCTGCATGACTCTTAGGGGCCTTTTCGCTCCATGGAAGCAAGGGAAAGCTTTAGAGCCTGCAGAGGTTCCTTGAGGATGAGACTTGATGGGCAGGACCTGATGGACAGTCCYGCCCTTGAGAACAGGACTCATGTGTCCTTTGCTTCTACGGACCTGGCACAATGCCTGCCATATAGGAAGTGCCCAATCAGTACCCAGTGGAATGTCTCCAGGAAGGAAGGAAGTCAGGCAGCAGGCAAGCCRTTTCCTTCTTTCATTTTCTTGAGAAAGCAATAAGAGCAACAATGCTCTTTGGTTTCTGACCATAGATCAGGAGTCAGGAAACCCAGGTGCTGGTGTRCTCCTTTAACCAAACCAAGAGACTCTCTGAAAACAACTGTAGCACTCAGGGCTCTGTCTACCCTTCAGGGCACAGAAGACTCAGTGTCAGCCTTGCCACCTGCTGCTTTCCAAAGATGGTATGGAAGCAAAATGAGATGCAAGGAAAGAAATGTCTTATATGCAAAGACATTATTTTTGTTTGATTGAATTATTTTTTTTAAGGGGGGGGGGCTGGGGATTGAACTCAGGAGACTCAACCACTGAGCCATATCCCCAGCCCTTTTTTGTATTTCATTTAGAGACAGGGTCTCACTGTGTTACTCAGCATCTCTCTTTTGCTGAGGCTGGCTTTGAACTCTGGATCCTCCTTCCTCGGCCTCCTGAGATTTGGGGATTACAGGCATGTGCCCCTGTACCTGGCTTTGAATCATTTTAAAGAAGTAGGTATAAGGTCTTCATAATCACTCCTTTTGGAAGCCAAATTATAAGCCCACCTGAATCTAAACCCAGATGATTATAAATCTACTCAGGGTCTTTCTCTGACCCTGACTCCAGTGACCTATGATTATACAGTATATATTTCACCCTGAATTAAAAGCACACCTTTGAAATCAACTGTTCTGAACACAGATAATACCTGTGCTGCCCATAATCATACCTGTCACCTCCTTTGGAGGGCTCATTGTAAAATAATTCTTCCAATTGCTCATTTAGGGGACACCTGGCTCCCTGTTGACTGTTCATGCTTCCTTATCCCTAGCCACCTCCCTAAAGCCAGTCTAACACCAGTTTCAAAGATCAAGACACCAACATAGTGCAGAGGTCAAGGGCTCAAACTCTAGAACAGACCACATGGATTTGAACACAGCTCTTTCACATACTGGCTGTGTGACTTGTGACAAGTTAATTTGATCTCTCTGTGCTTTCTTGTCTCTCTGCTCTAAGATGCAGATGATAATAACACCTACGCCATTAAGGTTGTWGTGGGATTCAATAACATATGCCAAAGTACTTAAGGTCAGGGCAAGTGCCTAGTGAATGCTGGTTAGATTATCAGCCTGGTTATTTCTTCCTCCTAGTTGTTCCTTGGATGGTTCATTCCACTCTATTTCCCCATTCACCCACTTAAAGATAAGCTTCTTGCTCCTGAGTTGTCTGTCTCTGTTCATTACCCATATGGAGTCTTGGGTACCTACGTCACTTGGCCATGCCTGTGTTCCACTGAGATAATGAAATAAAGGAATTCACATTTTCCTTGTGCACTTCGGCTCTGGAGTCTGCCTGCTCTTGCATCAGACCAACTGGGAGCTGTGCTCACTCCACGGCATGTGCCCAGCACYGGAAGACTCTGGACAACTCCCTTCGTTTATGATCAACACAATGAAGGCAGCAGGATCTCAGAGAGATAARGTTTTCTTGGGGACTGTATTGGAGGCAGCAAAGGGAAGAAAGCACAGAATTCCAATCTTCCAAATATTTACCTCGTCRGGTGTTTCCTGTCTCTTTAATCCAGCGCACTTGGTGATGATGAGCTCATGGCATCGCTTGTGGACGACGCAAGTGCAAACTGCAAACCAAAAAGAGATAGGAAGGCTGAGTGATGGCTGGAGAAGAAAGTCTTCATCCCAAGATGGAATCAGGGCTCCGGTGAGGGACAAGGAGAGCCATTGTCCTTCTGCCACCGAATCTTAATTTAATACTTAAAGCCCTTAATGCAGTTATTTCCAAAAAATTTTGCCACCAAAGCTATGAAGGTTTCTTAAATGCCCTGGAGAAGAATGAAGCAGTCATGTCCAGGGGACACTGGCAGTTTTTGTGAGTTTTGAGAGGACTGGGCAACTTTCTCGCTATGCATTGCTGAGGCTGGGGACCAGCTTCCTTCCCATCTCTCCTAGGGAGCCCTGTCCATTGAAGGTGTGTTATCTCCCATGTTCCAAAGTCGTGGCAGGGTGGCTGATGTGAGAAGGGGAACTCTAGCAAGTGGAATAGAAGTTCTTAGACTTTTCTTTTTTAAAAAAACTGGGTTGTGTTCTTACACCCCAAACTTTAAATGTTCCACTTGTCAAGAAGTAGGTCTAGCTTTGCCTGTAAGGTCATGGGCAACGGGTGGCTGGAGAGGTAAGTAATTCTCTGTTTGTACACAAAAGACACGGCAGCCTCCGACAGAACCCATTCGAGCTTCCCCTGATGGGGGAGACCCAAGCTGGGCAGTGCTGGGCTCCCTGTTCCCACCACACAGAAGCTYAGCACGACCACCCTGTGTTACCACGCTCCACGTGTGTACAACTTAACCTTACTTTTGTCGTCAATTAACTGGGAAAAAAAATCTTCAATTCCTTCAAGTGAGCTTTAAAGTTTTAAGAGTTAACGATTCCACAGTAGACAAAAAAAAAAGAGAATCGGCAAGAACCATTCAGAGATATTGACTCAAACAAGCAGGCGAGGGAGCTCCTTCAGGGAGAAAGAGAAGTGCTCGCTGATAGGACACACAGACCCAGAGCAGGACAAGTGGGGTTTCCGAAGAGCCTCTAATTGAAGGATCGTGTCTCACTGGGAAAGATCAAAGTGCTGCCTGCTACCGCTGACACAAAATTCTGGAGAATTGGGAGCTTGCTGGAAGCCTGGCGGGTGGGAGTTACCTGAAAGGCACCTCCCTTACTTGAAAGTGACCACTCAGGCACAAAGCTAGCAGGGTCCTGCTTCCTAGAGAGGAACGATCAGCATGCAAATGCTGCAGAGTCCCCATGTCATCGACCCGGCACACACCTCCCACAAGTGAGTCATCTGAACCCAACGAGGGCCTCCAAAGATTTAGTTTATCAAAGACCTCTTACCTTGACATTGGTATCCCTGCTTTCCTATGACACCCCTGCAAAGAAGAAGACAATCCTTTAAGAAAACACAATCTTACTAAAGGTCAAAAAATAAACACCTACAGCCAGCTGACTGTGGCCACCACCCCTGTTGTATTAAGTGCCACAGAGCCAGCTGAGCTGTGCTCCCTCTCAGGGAGCCTCAAAATGCCTGCTGCCAGGGGGCCCTGGAGGGGAGGCCAGCGCTTGCAGAAGGTGTCAGGTCTGTCAGCACTGGGGCTTGGATTCCTATACAGACAGCTGGGCCAGAGAGGGCAGCAGTGTTCTGGAAAGATACAAATGACCCTGCTCGCTCTGGACAGGCCTTGGACAGTTCAACACTGTCTTCTTCATGGATGAGATAAACATTCTCGCCTTGCAGTGCCAGGACTCACTCTCTGATGGTGGAGAAGGGCTGTGGCTGGCAGACATGCTCTTGAGCATCCCAGAGACTACCAAGGGTTACAGGCAGTCTATGGTCACATCTAATGCTTCAATCTGTCGTTTGGGTSAAGGCTAACATTAGAGATCCCTTCCATGGCCAGAGGAGGGTCCCAGGGCAAGGTTGGAAGTCAACACAGAAATAGAACAATCAATCAAACAACCTAGTCTTATTCCTGTCCTCAGGTCAGGGAGCCTATTGCAGTTCCAGATCATCCCAGCAGGGGGAGCCAAAAGTCACTGGGGGCCGCACCCCAGGAACCTGGGGCTATGATGTTCACCACAGGCTTAGGGGAGACCTGTGAGACTAACCACTTGATTCACGTCTAAAATACCAACAATGGAGCTCAGATGGTGAATGGGTGTGGGGAATGAGAAGTGTCACAGCTGGAAAGGCCTCTGCTTCTGTTTCCGGCAGGTTTCCCCTGAGCTGTGTCATCTCAGCTGTCCACAACCACCTCAGTGGCTGGTTCTGTTAACACCATGAGGGTAAGACAAGAGACACACCTCAGGAACCAGGAGGGCCCCAGAGCCCRATTCAAATCTCCTCTACTAGGAAACTCAACTTCCCTTGCTCTGTCCAGCCTGGATCCATAGGTGTCCTCCACGTCACTACCAGCTTTGAAGACGCTCAGAGAATTTTCCAGAAAGCCCGGTGGGATGTCATGAAAAGCATCAGCTTTAAAGTCAGGCCAACCTGAAATGGAACTGTGCCTCTGACACTCCCAGGAGGACATTGAAGACATTGGATAGTCTCTTCTCCATTTCTGAGTGCCAGCACTGTTAGCAGAGTTAATACCACACAGTTCATAGGATAATGGGGAAATTTAATTAAATATTTCCAGTGCCTAAAAATAGGACCTGGCATGTGTAGACGTTCATTAAAATTCCTCCTCCAAGCCCAAGACCAGTGTTCCATATCCTCCTTCGCCACTCAAAAGGCCCATGGCCTCCTGCTCTCTACCTATCAGAATCCTGAGTGTGAAGGGAGAAATGCCACCTCCCCAGGCAGCCTTCCCAGCCACTCGAAACACTGCTGCTGTGTTCTTGCTCCTTTTAGATCTCAGCATCCTGGGAGCCACCAGGTTAGAAAGTTACTGAAAATTGCTTTCTATCACAGAGATCAGCAACCAGGTATTTTTTCATTTAATTATGGAAAAATTCAAATATATATTAAAGTTGAGCAATGGATATAAGGGGCCCTCACATACCCATTGCCCAGCTCCAACTACCAATCCAGGGCTGCTCCACCTCATCTCGACCCTAGCCCTTCTCCCCTCTTCCAGGTAATTTTTTTTTAAACAAATTCCAGACATCATAGCTAATTTGTAAATAGTTCAGCTTGTTCCTCTAAAAGTCATGCTTTTCCTAAAAATATAACCATATTATCAATTATAAAATTTAACTCCTWAAATATGTTATGATCCTAAGCATAGAGGCCCCAAGAACCAGTTTCTTCTTTCCATTCACTCTTCCCAGGCACCCACACACATTTAACCACTGRAACAGACTTCTGTGATCAGATAAAGACATAATGCTGCTTATTTTCTATTTTATTTCTTTCAATACACACAGTAGAATTTATTTTATCTGAAATTTATTATTTTTCAATTTCAGCGAGAGTTTGAAATCTCAGAGAGCCCTCTACAACCTATTTTATTAGAGGAAATTCTTGCTGTCATTATCAAATCCTTCAAGGGCCTGTCAGCTCTGCATGGTGATAAGATTCAAAGAAGGCAAGGCTCTTTCCTTATCGAGATCATCTTTTAAACTTTAAAATCAGGATACTGAAACGATGTCAAAATTACCCTTGGAACCACCCCCCAACATTTATATTGTTCATACATAGACTTTTATTCAAGAAATCTCTTCTTCATTTCAAATTAAAATGCAATGGTTTTGTGTGAAAAAAATCATTACCTCATTCATTATTAACTTTTATAATAAAATATCATCATTTGTTTATTATTAGCACTTTTTTGTATGTGGCTGGGGTACTGAGATAGAAAACAGGGCCTGATACATGTTAGGCAAGCACTCTACCACTGAGCTACATCCCCAGTCCTTTTAAATTTTAGATAGGGTCTCATTAAGTTGCCCAGGGTGGACTTGAACTTGCAATCCTCCTGCTTTAGGCTCCCCAGTAGCTGGGATTAAGGTTTACAGGTGGGTACCACGACTCCCACCTTTACATCAGCACTTTCAGTACYAGGGATTAAACCCAGGGGTGCTTAACTACTAAGCCACATTCYCWGTCCTTTTTTATATTTTATTTAGAGACAGGACCTCACTGAGTTGCTGAGGCTGGCTTTGAACTTGCAATCCTCCTGCCGCAGCCTCCTAGCCACTGGGATTGTAGGAMTGCACCACTGYGCCTGGCTCATCAGCACTTTTTAAATGAAGTTTATGATCTCCCCCACCTTCCCACCTTATTGCCACAGTGAGGTCATATCTAGAGGATCCCAGGAGAGAGGGGCTTACCAGATGAAGTCTCTGCAGTGGGAGCAGTAGGTGGGCTGCCGAAGGTAGGTGGCCATGAACTTGTGGCCATTGACCTGGTGGACCCTGCGTCTGACGGCCCCTTGCCGCTTCCTTGGCCGCATACGCTCCCTGAACACACGCTCTTCATTGTCTTTAGGGGCTGGGGGAGGACAAGAGCAGAGAAGAAAACAGTGTGGGTTAGTGCATCTTAATACTGACCTCCTGCTGTAGCCCACCCCTAGATGAGGAGGCAGCCCTGGGTGGGAGGAAGTCTTTGAGCTTACTGAAGGATTTGGGGCTTTGAGGGGTCTCACTGCTCAGCTGGATGGAGTGAGCGTACCCCGACGGGTGGGAAGACCCAGAACACACATCTTCCCACTGTGTCCACCTGTGTCTTCAAGAGTCCATCCCAAACCAAATTCAGTTTTCAGGAAAGTGYCCAATTCCTGCACATACCAGCTGCATGTTTCAAGGGCCTGAGGTTAAAATGCTCAATGTTCAAATCTTAGCTCAACTTCTGAACTGTGTGACCTTGGACAGATTTTGTTTCCTCATCCAGAGCCTCTGTGGGCATCTCCCTCAATAAATCAGGACTACAGAGCTGATCACAGTGGGCGGTGGGCTGGGAGGAGTCAGCGGTGTGAATTCTCACTCACCTAATTGACTAGCCTGAGCAGTAGCTGTCTAAACAATCTGCCGCCTTCCTTTTCCCTTCTAYTCAGACTAGATCAAGTAATCCCTTTTTTTTCCAAGATCAAAGGAGAAGGAAATATAACACTATGAAAGCAGATGCCTTCATAGTCTCGAGACCCATCACCCCACTGAAGATTCTTCCCTCACCTTGGTTACTCCAAGCCTAAGGATGCTTTGCAAGAGGAGTAACATGTGGCAACAAAAGTAATAATGATGATTGTTAGAAACTCCTTGTGTTGCCCCCAAATTCATATGTTGAAGCCTTAATCCCCAGTGTGATGGTATTTGGAAATTGGCCCTTGGGTAATTAGGGTTAGATGAAGTCATTGGGGTGGGATCCTCCCAAGGTGGGATAAGTATCCAAGAGGGAGAAACCAAGTGAGTTGCTCTCTGCCACATGAGCCTGCAGTGAGACAGAGCAATCTACAAAACAGGAAGAGGGGCCTCACTGGACCTCATCTCAGGCTTCCAGCCTCTAGAACTGGGAGAAATAAATGTTTTAGGCTGAGCTAAGGCAGTGGAGATGGCCAAGAGGCCAGTAGGCTTCCTCTGGCAGGTGCTGTGCTAAGTGCTAAGTGTCCTCATACCATCTCCATGTTACAGGAGTGCCCACTGAGGAGGAGGGAGGGACTGTCCACTCCAGTTAGCATGCCTTTTAATTGAGAAGGAAATAGAAGAAAGTAGACCAGAGTCCACGGCTGGTGAAAACACCTCTCTATCACATTCCTCTGAACCCAGAAGCACCCTGGGCCCTGCCACCCACAGGCTGGGAAGGAAGCAGCCACCATAATGTGAAGGGAGAAGACACCGGATTCCTCAGCCACCCCATCCCTGAACAGTTCCACTGGGCCCCAGAATCCACCACCACAAGAGATCTCTATAGCATTTCAAAACACAGCTTCTGCTATCCCACGGTGTGGGGATTTATTTCTGGGCTCTCCTATTCTGTTTCCTCAGTTCATATGTCTGTTTTTCATTATTGATAATATTAATTATTAATGATAATATTATTATCATCATCACTATTATTTTATTATTGATAATATTAATTATTAATTAATTATTAATAATATTGATAATATTTTATGCCAGTCAATTATTGTTTTCATTACTGAAGTTTTGTAATAATTTCAAAAACCGGGAAGTGTGATACCTCTTGCTTTGTTCTTCTTGCTCAGAATTTCTATGGCTACCCAATCTTTAGGGGTTCTGTATTAATTTTAAGACTCATTTATTTGTTTCTGAAAGAAAAATGGCTTTGAAATTCAGATAGGAATCACACTGGATTTGTAGATCACTTTGGGAAATATGGGCAATATCAACAATATATTAATATTGACTCTTTTATTTATTTATTTATTTTTAAAATACATTTATTTTAATTATTTATTTTTATGTGGTGCTGAGGATCGAACCCAGGGCCTCACCCATGCTAGGCAAGCRCTCTATCACTGAGCCACAACCCCAGCCCCAATATTGACTCTTTTAAACCATGAAGAGTTGATTGATCTTCAACAGGGATGCCAAGAATTTACAATGGAGAAAGGATAATCTCTTCAATTAATGGTGCTGGACAAAAATGGACATCCACTTGCAAAAAATGTGAATGTGGACACCTCCCACACCATACTCAAACATCAGCTCAAAATGGATCAAAAACTTAAAGACCCCAAATCATAAGGCTCAGAGGAAACATRGGAAATGCTTGTTGGCATTGGTCTTGGCAATGATTTATTGGATATAACACCAAAAAGCTAAGAAAAGCAAAATCAGACAAATAAAAATCAAATGCAGTGCCTATTGTAAGAGTAATATATCATGTGTGAGTGAATAAGTATGCAAATATACATTTGCACGTGTGAACAATATATTATATATTACGTATATATAATATACATAATATACGTATATTATATATACATAATGTACACAATACCATATACTGATTGATAATATAGCATATATTACACTTAATATATATGACATATAGTTTGCTGAACTATCCAAGACATAGTGACACTTCACCCCTAAATACTTCAACCTTTACCTCCCAAGAACAAAGACATTCTCCTACATAAGCACAATATCAAAATAAAGAAAACTCTAATATGACATATCTAGTATGTAGTTTATATTTAAGTTTCCCCAATTGTTCCCAAAATATCCTTCACAGTTTTTTTTTTTCTTTTCTTTTCATCCAGGAGCTCATTGGAGGTCTTGCCTTACACTTGGCTGCCAGATCTCTTTTGTCTCCTTAGTCTGGAACAATTTCTTTTCTTTCTTTCTATGATACATTCATGGTGTGTCCAGGGTATTGTGTTACAGAATGTTGCACAACATGAACTTGTTTGATTGTTTCTTCCCAATTCGTTTCAGAGTAAACGGAAAGAATACCACACAGGTCTACGTATCAGCAAATCCAAATGTATCCCTCAGGATCAACAAGTCCAAATGTATCCCTCAGGATCCATACAGATAACCATATCAATGACATGAACATGAAATGAATGGAAGGAGAAATGTAAAATATTCACTCATCAGGAATTTTAAAAATGCAAAGCAGAACAGCTTTGACATTAAGGCGGATGTAACATTTAATACCTAATAAAGAAACACATTTGTTTAAAAATGATATTTTCCGCTATTGGCAAGCTACCAGGAAACTCATTTATTCTTTCACTGCTGGAGGCAATGCCAGTTGACATAYATTTTCAGAAAACAATATCACAGTACATAGCCAACAGTACAAAGAGATTCACCTCCTTTGATCTGAAAATTCCTTAGGAATTAACTCTAATAATTAAATAGAAACTGAAAGCTGTATATTCATAACTTATAGACATTCCCCACTGCATAGCTATATTAACCAGCAAATAGAAATTTAAAAAAAAATGCTGGGCAGGGTAGCACCTGCCTGTAAACCCAGTGACTCAAAGAGACTGAGGTGGGAGGACGGCAAGTTCACGGCCAGCCTCAGCAACTTGGCAAGATCCTGGGAAACTTAGTGAGACCCTGTCTCAAAATGAAAAAATAAAAACTGCCGGAAATATAGTGGTAAAGTGCCCCTGGGTTCAATCCCCAGTATCAAATAGATAAATAAATAGAAAGAAATTTTTAAAAATTGGGAAAGTGGGCCAGGCAAAGTGGTATACGCCTATAATCCCAGAAGCTCAAGAGGCTGAGGCAGGAGGATGGAAAGTTCTCACCTCAGTGAGATCCTGTCTCTAAATAAAATACAAAATAGGGCTGGGGTGTGGCTCAGTGGTCAAGCGCCCCAGAGTTCAGTCCCCGGTACCTCCCCCGCCCAAAAAAATTCGGAGAGTGGTCTAATGACATAATCATATTACATTTACAGCGAGTTTAAGATTAAGAGAAGACCAGAGAAACTTGGGGGAAATATGGTACAAAACCGTGAAAGCAGAACGAACAATAACCCAATCCCAAATGATACATCTATGGGTCGAAGCTAATATTTAAAAAAAAAAAAATTAAGCCATACTAGGATGATGGGATTATGTATTTTCATAGTTTTAAGAATGTTCTCCAGGGCTCTCCAGTGATGTTTTAAAGCTTTCTCTCCATCTGAAGTCGCAGGCAATGCTGCGGGGGACTCTCCGGCATGAAGAGGCGTGGAGGGCACCAGAGGTTGCCATGGAGAACAGGACAGATGACAAACATCATCAGCTCTCCAACTGCCCGTGGATCTGAACCGAGTGAACAGCCAGGCCCAAGGGGCAGCCAGAGTGTCCAGACCTGTCCCCTACACCTCTGACTCCCTCCGGATGGAGGGTGCTCCTGGCTGTCACTGGAGGCACTCAGCCATGCACAGCCGGGGTGACTGTCCCTTTGCCTCAGCCTTTGAGGCAGAATCAAGTTTGGCCGACCTCCCAGAAGACCCATCCAGCTCTTCACAGGTCCCCTACTGGACTGCTGCCTCTGTCACACAGCAGAAGGGATAAGCCACGTGGGGGAGAGACCGACACCAAGCTGGATCTCTTTGGTGAAACTTTCTGTGGAAAGGAAAATCCTGGCTGGTCAGGTGTGATGACGAGAAGGCACCAGAGGCACAAAGCTGAGCAGCCATRTCCCCTGAAGCGGCCAGGCCCCCCACCCTCAGCAACATTCCTGGCATGTCTTCTACTGCCTTCAAAGAGTCTATAAATTTCAACCTCCCAGGAGCTTTTACACCAATGAATATTTAACAGCCCCTGTTGCAGAAGAATCTACGACAGGTTTCAGGCAGGTGGCAGGAAAAGCAAAAAGAGATCTGCAGCATGCAGTTGTCCTTCTGTTGATCTAACTCACCTGCTCCCTTCTCCTTGGTGGGCAGACTTCTGAGCTAGATCAGAGGGACATCCTGAAGACAGAGAGGTGGCCCCTGGCTCCAAACTCTACACCACATTGTTCTCTGGCCGATCTGGTCATTGAAGGTTTCCCTGGTCCCCTGTGGCCTCCCTTATGAGCCAC